TGTCCTTATCTGCTCTTAAAAGTTCTTGGAACTAAACATATATTGTATTTTCTTATATTCACAATTATCTTTCCATGAATTTTTATTCATGGAGTCAAATTCCAGTGATTATCATTTAGAATTTTTATGAAGATGATAGATATATGTTTTCCTCAGATGATTTTTATCAAGCTGCTGATTTTTGAAAGTGGCCTATCAAACATCCTTACAGTATCAAGTTACAGAGATCAATTTTCTGGAATGAAACAAAGCTTAAATTCTACCTTTTTCTCACTATACATTTTCATTTTTCTTAATGGACTAATTGCACTTTCAGCAAGTATAGATCCTGTCAGAAGTTGGCTACTTTTCTAGATGATAAATAGGACAAGGTAGCTTCTTTCCCTTGTGAAAGGCTTGTTTTGCTACCTGTCGGTGGACTATACCTCTTCATAAGATAGAATCTATATTTGACTTGGCTTTAGTATTCAGTTAAGTTTTCCTGGCTATTCCAGATTGATAGTTAATTGAAATGGAAAGATTCTTCTTTTATGCAGTGTGTCCTACAAATGATGGAAGCAGTCTTCATCTTTAGTAAACCCATTTCCTGAATCATTTGATACATCTTTGGAAAAAGTATTTAATTTTTAGTAGCTTAGGGTACATCATTTCATAGTTAGTTACATAGAACCAGTTTGACAAGTGATTAAGGTACCAATGAATATTAGCCACAGTTATATTAAAAAATTCTGATGCTATCAGCCATTCAGCCGAAATATTTGGCATTGTTTTAACTTCTTAAATGTATAGTTTCATTCAATCATATAGTAATAAACTGGGGCTCAGGAATAATGTTATTATACCTTTTATTTCAGAATTTAAAAATTGATAGGCCTTTAAAAATTAATAGGGCTCTAGGAACTTCAAAGAAGGTGAAGGAGTGTAATGATCTTTAGTGAATTTCATTGTAATGAGAAGATAATATAAACACTTATTAAAACAAGTGTTTCTATACTTAGGAGAGACCTTCTGTTATCTCTGGAAAATTCCAGACACACTTGCTCTGAACGTCATCTGAAGTGCCACCTAAAAGTGTTGTCCATAACATTGGCCAGAATATAAATTGAAACTTTCTGAAAATGTGTGACTAACTTTAGAGTAGATCATCAAAGAATTTGTTAACGTATTAGGTATTTTCTGTCTTAAAATTTTGTAACTGGTCCATGAGTATGTAAACTCTTTGTAAGTATTTCTCTCAATGAAGTGTGTTGATTGCAAAAGTGTTACAAAAGAAGAGATGAATTAGAACATTACATATGAGAGGAGAAATGTTTTTCCTCGTGTTAAATATTAATATAGTAACCAGAGAGAAAAAGCAGGTAAAATAGGTCATTTAAGCTCCATGAAATATTTCCTGCCTGGATGTAAAATTGCTAAATGAATCGGCACTAAATTGTTACTCAGAAGCTGAGGATAGTTGGTCATATGTGATTTGATTTGATATACTGAATTCAGAATATAAGGTTTCTGCATTTCTCTTAGGTTGTCATCTGGATTGATAAAGTCTTCTGTCACATTATCACGTTATATAGTAGTGAGCATGGGTACTGTCTGAAATATTATAAATTACATATATGCAGAGCCCATTAGTATAATTTTTGGAGGAAAAAACTATGGACCATTTGCACATAAAAAGATTTGTATGTTTTGTATTAAAAGAATGTTTCCCAAATACAAAGTCCAACAGTTGAGATTTTAGGAAATTCTAAGCGCACAAAGTTCTTTAGTTTAACCAGTATATTCATATTGTATGTTCTAAATATTGTATTTTTTGCTTTACAATTTATTCTTCATAATGTTTACAGTACTAAAATGTAGAAGCCAAAGCCAAGCTCATTTTTATTTTATTGGTCTATAGAAAGGTGAAATGTAAAATTTGTTACTACCAGTTCTGTGGGCGTGGCTTGGTGGGGTGTGTGTGTAATGTGACTGGGTGGGCATGGCCAACTTTTTTTTTTTTTTTTAACTTTTAAAAGCATTTTTCCTACAACCTCCTTGGTTGAAGAGGTTGTAGAAAAAATGCTTTTAAAAGCCTCTGACGATCCCAGCTGAGCCGCACGATCATCAGAGACTTTTTTTTTACTTTTAAAAGCATTTTTTCAGCCAAAGTGATTGTAGAAAAAATGCTTTTAAAAGTAAAAAAAACCAGCCTCTGATGATTGCGCGGCTCAGCAGAGCATGGGGGGGCGCACGCAGGGATTTTTGCTACCGGTTCTCTGAACCACCCACCGCCATCGCTACTGGATCAGGCGATCCGGTCCGAACCGGGAGCATTTCACCCCTGGTCTATAGAATATATACTACTACCTGGTATATACTGAAAGTAAAACATGCCTTATTACAAAACTGTTGTACCGGGCTTCAGAAGCAATTCAGCTATAGTTTTTAAATAGTTTATTCTTCATCTTTTGGATTCCTCCAATCTTAGTAATCTACTGATTAATTAAATTGACTTATTGACTCTTTTAGGATGCTACCTTTAATATTTAGAAATATCACATAATCTGTCTTTTAGTCATGCAGAATTTTTTTTCTGATTCAGAACTTGCAGTGAAAATTCAGTACTATGTACCCTATAGAATCAAAAGTTCATCAGTTCTGAATACTTGTAGGTCAAAAAAGTTACATTAATAGCATTAGTAAAATAGTGTACTGTAAGCTGCCTAGATTCACCTGATCGAATCAGCATTTCTTTTATGAGTAAATTATTTAAAAGTTGGATTTAAGTAGAAAAAACAGTTGAAATTGACCATTTAGAAATAAATTACAATTAGACAAATAAATTAGCTTATACTGATATATTAATAAAAATATAGTGTCTTAAATTTCTCAACTCTGGAATCCATAAAGTTTAAGAAAAAGGATATATAATATATATCCTGCATATGCCTTACATGCTGCAACAAAACAAAACTCATAGGGAGCTTTAAGATAGGAGCCAGTACTATAGGAGTAGAGGTGATCTAGAAAACATTCTTCTGGTTGCAGAACAGTACAGGTAGTCCTTGAGTTACAACTATAATTGAGCCTCAGCAAAAACATTATTAATCGCAGCCATATGACCATAAGACACTGTAAATGCTGACCAGTTACCAAGGGTCTAAAATATTGTCATGTGACCTTGGGGGGGGAGCTGGAAGTCAGAACTTCAAAACTATATCATAAATCTCTTTTTCAGGGTCCATTGTAAATTTGAATTGTCACTAAGTGACCAGTTGTAAGCGGAGGACTATCTATATTCTCCCAGGCATACATATCTTTTTTTTTCTTGCCCTTTTTTAGCAATATTTTTTGGAAGTGGTTTGCCATTGTCTTCTCCTAGGGCTGAGAAAGAGAGGGATTGGCCCAAAGTCACACAGTTGGCTTTATGCCCAAGGCAGGATAGACTCACTGTCTCCCAGCTTCTAGCCTAATGGCTTTAACCACTACACCAAACAGGCTCTCATACATTTTTACTGAGATGAAAATATGTTTCTTTTAAAATGCCATACTGATATTCAGAAGAAAATTGTAGAGTAGGAAGTAGCATTTAATCATCAGATCTAATCCCCTTGCTCAGTAGGAAAAAAACTTCCTCTGGTCAAGCTTAACTACTGGTTATGCAGACATATCTGTGTACATTTTTGGCAATAATACAAAGTTGGTTTACCATTGTCTGCCTTTGGAAATTTTTCAACTTCCCGTGTAGCCTACAATCCTGGGATTTATTGGCAGTCTGCCTTATATCCACTAAACAATCCAACTGCTTAGCTTTCTTTGAGATCTGGCTAATTTTTGAAACCCCTCATGAGCCCTACATAGAGCTAACTTTCATACATTATTGTAAAGAAAAATTAAAGAATAATTTTTTCATTTATATAGTTGTATTATGTATAAGCGTCATTGAAATGCTGCACAAACTGTCAGTGGCACAGCTTTTCAGTGTGAAATATTCATATCTCCAAAGCATAACCAATGAATCCCATGATGATGAAAATGCAGAAAATAAATTAAAAAAATGTGTTAAAACTTCAGTTAGCTTTTTCACTTCTATAAAAATGTAAAGCAAGAAAACGTTAGACAGAAATATTGCAGATTAGAGCTTCCATAAAATGAGAAACAGTTCATATACATTTCAGGTATATCTTAGAGGAAGAACATGGATCTTGTACTTTCCAAATATATTCATGAAGTACCATATAAGACGCACCTTTTCCCCCCACTAAAAGAGGCTAAAAATGTGGGTGTGTCTTATACTCCGAATGTAGCTTTTTCAAAGCTTTTTTTCAGCCCTAACTAGGCGCTAGCCAAATGAAGTGATCTCCCCCCCCCCGTGCTTTGCCTGCTTTTCTCATTGCTGCTTCCTCTCAGCTGTGCCTTAGAAGCTGTTTTTTATCCCCAGGCAGGGGATAAAAAACCAGCAAACTAATGTGCTGAAGCTGACCAGACTAAGGATGCAAGCCAGATGAATACCTGGTAGACAGATCTTTTTTTTTCCTATTTTCCTCCCCAAAACTAAGCTGCGTCTTATACTCCGGTGCGTCTTATACTCCAAAAAATATGGTATATTGGCTATTGGCTATTTATTAATGGTTAAGCACCTTGATAAATGTTATAAATGTATAAATATAGGAGCCTGAGTGGCGCAGCAGACTAATGCTACTGTTAAAGGTAGTATTTAGCTTCCAGCTGCCTGCAATTACTGTGAATTCAATTCTCACCAGGCTCAAGGTTGACTCAGCCTTCCATCCTTTCTAAGATAGGTAAAATGAGGACCCGGTTTGTGGGGGCAATAAGTTGACTTTGTATAAAATATACAAAAGTATGAAGGCTATTGCTTAACGCCTTGTAAGCCGCCCTGAGTCTCCGGAGAAGGGCGGCATATAAATCAATCAATCAATCAATCAATCAATATGATAGGAAGGCAGACTTTTCTCATTTTCTGATTTATTAATATTATTTTTATGCATATTTTTGTGCAGGTTCTGGGTGGATCATATCATCAAAGTTATCCAGCTACAAACTTTCAGGACTATAATAATTGGGAGTCCCTGATGAAAATTAAAGAAGGGCTGTTAAGGCAAAAAGAAATTGTGATTGATAGGTAAGTATATCTATTGTATCCTCAATTTGCTTCAGATTTGCCTTGCAAAGCAAGGCAGTCCCTTATTTTGTCATCTTTGAGTAGTAGGCTCTGGGCTTTGAGTAGTGGGCTCTGTTTTAGGTAATAGAAACACATTTAGTTTCTGGTGTATAACTCTGTACCTTTATATAGCAATATAGTGGTAGTTGTATATTATCTTGTGTATATAATGTATGCACAATTTTTTACTTTTAAGTTTTTAATTTGTATAGTTGTAATATTTTAATTATTCTTCTACTTGTTTTTATACTTTGTAGGCCTTATAGAAAAGATGGGTGGCATAAAAAATAATAAAAAATTAATAAAATAAATTTACTCTAATGCTGAATATTTGATCTCTGGTGACCTTTGTCAAAGCATAACAAAGCTTTGTATTAAACTACACTGATATATAAAAGTATTATTGTTAAACAAGATGCAATTAAAATTGAACAGTACTATGGAATTGGTCTATTTCAGTTTAAACCAATAAGCATTTGTCAATACGTTGTTTCTGAAGCTTTATGTACAGCATTTGATGAAGTATGATAGTCTATATCATATTTATTGATGGGACGCTGTGTAGTCTTTTCTTACTTCACATTTTTATTGGTCCAGCAAACTTCCTTTTGGTGTACCAGGATATTCTTTGATTTTCAACTCTTCATACTTCCGTGAAGAAAAGAAAAGCACATAATAATAACAAATGCATATGATTAAGTATGTTAAAAAAAGTGACTTCCATACTGAAATCATTATGGCAAAGGTATACCCTTACATAAGTTTTGGACTGTGATTGGCATTGCTTTGATACAACAAGATAACCGCTTGGTTGCCCATAAGGAAATACAGTGGGGCAAAAAACTATTTAGTCAGCCACCAATTGTGCAAGTTCTCCCACTTAAAAAGATGAGAGAGCTGTAATTGACATCATAGGTAGACCTCAACTATGAGAGACAAAATAAGAAAACAAATCCAGACAATCACATTGTCTGATTTGGAAAGAATTTATTTGCAAATTATGGTAAAAAATAAGTATTTGGTCAATATCAAAAGTTCATCTCAATACTTTGTTATATATCCTTTGTTGGCAATGACAGAGGTCAAACGTTTTCTGTAAGTCTTCACAAGGTTGGCACACACTGTTGCTGGTATGTTGGCCCATTCCTCCATGCAGATCTCTAGATAGAGCAGTGATGTTTTGGGGCTGTCACTGGGCAACACGGACTTTCAACTCCCTCCAAAGGTTTTCTATGGGGTTGAGATCTGGAGACTGGCTAGGCCACTCCGGGACCTTGAAATGCTTCTTACGAAGCCACTCCTTTGTTGCCCAGGCGGTGTGTTTGGAATCATTGTCATGCTGAAAGACCCAGCCACATTTCATCTTCAATGCCCTTGCTGATGGAAGGAGGTTTGCACTCAAAATCTCACGATAGATGGCCCCATTCATTCTTTCCTGTACACGGATCAGTCGTCCTGGTCCCTTTGCAGAGAAACAGCCCCAAAGCATGATGTTGCCACCCCCATGCTTCACAGTAGGTATGGTGTTCTTTGGATGCAACTCAGCATTTTCTCTCCTCCAAACACGACAAGTTGTGTTTCTACCAAACAGTTCTACTTTGGTTTCATCTGACCATATGACATTCTCCCAATCCTCTTCTGGATCATCCAAATGCTCTCTAGCAAACTTCAGACGGGCCCAGACATGTACTGGCTTAAGCAGGGGGACACGTCTGGCACTGCAGGATCTGAGTCCCTGGCGGCGTAGTGTGTTACTGATGGTAGCCTTTGTTACGTTGGTCCCAGCTCTCTGCAGGTCATTCACTAGGTCCCCCCATGTGGTTCTCAGATTTTTGCTCACCGTTCTTGTGATCATTTTGTCCCCACGGGGTGAGATCTTGCGTGGAGCCCCAGATCGAGGGAGATTATCAGTGGTCTTGTATGTCTTCCATTTTCTAATTATTGCTCCCACAGTTGATTTCTTCACACCAAGCTGCTTGCCTATTGCAGATTCAGTCTTCCCATCCTGGTGCAGGTCTACAATTTTGTTTCTGATGTCCTTCGACAGCTCTTTGGTCTTCACCATAGTGGAGTTTGGAGTGTGACTGTTTGAGGTTGTGGACAGGTGTCTTTTATACTGATAACAAGTTCAAACAGGTGCCATTTATACAGGTAATGAGTGGAGGACAGAGGAGCCTCTTAAAGAAGAAGTTACAGGTCTGTGAGAGCCAGAAATCTTGCTTGTTTGTAGGTGACCAAATACTTATTTTCCACCATAATTTGCAAATAAATTCTTTCCAAATCAGACAATGTGATTGTCTGGATTTGTTGTCTCATTTTCTCATCTTTTTAAGTGGGAGAACTTGCACAATTGGTGGCTGACTAAATACTTTTTTGCCCCACTGTATACATTCTCATTCTCAGCATTACTTCTGGATTGATTGAAAGATAAAAAGGGTTCATAACTCTTTCAAAAGAATTCATTAAGAAATGTTGACAGTTTAATTGAAATTGTTTATAAAGCACCAACATTAGATGACTGTAATAAAGGTGTAAAGGCATGAGAATGTTCCTATTCTGTTTTGCCTAACTGCGATATGATTTAGTTTTGCTTTATTTTTTATATTGTCTCATTATTTTCATTATTTAGTAATTATTAAACACTATATTTTAACACTAGAGGGAGTACTATGTTCTTACATGGTTTTGCATAGTACTATATTTGTGCCTTGACTTAGCTCTCTTGAAGATAAGCTACACTATGCAACTACTTCTTTACACTACTTTCAATTGTTTTGACCTTGATTGGCCATGGCATACTACACATTTCTACTGAAGTGTTCGTGCTAATACTAGCACTGTTTATTGGCAAGGATTATCTGTAATGGTAGTGTGAATAAATTCCAAATGCTAGACACATGACATAAGTCCCTGAAAATAATAGTGTTTGCTGTGTTCTCAGTTAAACAACAGAGTGGTGTTCAAAAGGCTTTTTTAGAAAAGGTAAACTCAAAGGTTAAGATTTGGAGGAGTAAGTATCATTCCACATAATAGAATAATACTTGAAATTCTGAAGCAGCTGCTGATCATCATAATAATAGAAATAGGATGATCATTGATCATCATTAATATAAATATGGTTAACATTGTGAGTCTGTTGATTAAATGCATGATTTCTGTTCCTTGTAGAGTTGTATTTGCTTTGACTTGATCAGTGGCAGAACAAAGCCATATTGATATTGCTTGATGCATAATTGAGACCTATCAAAGAATTGGTCTTAAATTTAATACGATTAAATTCTACCATAGAATTCCTCTAGCAAATCCATTGTTTGTGTGAATCCAGTTGCCTCATACTCTGTTGAACTGCATGCTGTTTGAATGTACTTTTAAATATTCAGAAACTTAAATTCAATTTTGCACAGTTGTGCTGTTTTATATGATTGCTCTTTTTTTTTCTGCCTAAGATATATTGGGGATGCATTCCAACATGTGTTACAGGGTCCCACTTGTTCTTTCTAAAAGCCATCTAACAAGCAGCTAATGTAATTTCTTAGGATTCCACCAAGCTATGCCCTTTTGGAAGGAATGTTACCGTTAAATCAGCTTCAGTTTTAATTCCAAGTACTAATGCCAAGTACTAATGCTATAATGGAGGGGGAATGTTCTCTATTAGTGTTATAGAGCTATTCATTTCATAAACCTCTATCAGGCTTGTAGAAACAGTGCTTCAACCCTTTGTTCTTTTATTGCTGAAAACCTAGGCACGCTTACTTAAAAGTAATCCTTTTTTAACGGAATGAAAATAATTCTGAAGATATTTGTGGGATGGCTGAAGATTATTATCTTGTTTTGAGTTTTGAAATATGCTTTTCAGAGCCGAATAATAAAACTAAGCATCATTGGTAGCAAAGGCGTGTAACAATTGTACAACATCTGATAGCATAACATATCCTCTCGCCTTCTTGAAAACCCCGTGATTTCTCAGTTATGCACCAGAGAATTGGCATCAAATTGAAAGAGAGCAAGGGAAAGTTCCATTGCATGAGTGGATATCCACTCACACATAGTTGGACTTCTTCCACTACTCTAAATCTGGCTTCACCAGAGATTTATATCAATGAAATATATACATGGTATTTTTCATTTGAGAAGACAAGAATTAATATCCAGAATAAATTAAAATAAATATTTTCTATTCTTATCTTATGTTTGGTCAAATATGACAACAATTTCACTAAAGCAAAGGCAATAAGAGATACAGTTTGATGGAGTAATTAAGGCACCAGGATAGAAACCAGAAGATTGTGAGGCACAAAGCCAACTGGGTGATATTGGTCCAGTCATTCTGTCTCAGCTCTAGGAAACAGGCAATGGCAAATCACTTCTGAAATCTTGCCAAGTTGAAACCTTTCTCATTTAAACATGAAGCTGGTATTTATTTACCCGTGTTATACCATAGCAATAACAGCAAACAAAATTATATAAAATATATCTGAATACAATTACATTTGACTTCAAAATAACGAATTGGTTACTGAACTTTTAAAGAAGATAGTGCAGGTATGGAATCAAATTTAGTAGCTGAAAATATTATTGAACCTGAATTAACTGTTTAGTTTTCTGAATGTAGAGTATAGAGAGAAATTAGTTCATACTGTATAACAATTGAACACATTATTCTGAATTTGACAGCTGTATATAAAATAAGAAGGAGCCCCCCAATATTTCAAGTTTGTCCATATTTAAGTTACATCTGTTGAAAGAGAGACAGAATCAATACAATTTCAATCAGCATCTATAAGTAAATATGCGTGTGAAGAGTAAATGTATAACTAAATACCTATTGCCTGTTAGCACCTGTTTATTTGCCACCAGCTGCCAAATAAATTATATGCAGTGTGTTTAAAATACCGTATATGTAGAGGAGAAAAGAAAGAAGAATCTTGGGACTGGTTTTTGAAATAACCAATTTCAGGTTTTATTAAACCCATTAGAAATAAATTGAATCAGCATTTATAATTAACAGGAAGAAAAGAGGGAGAACAAAGTGGCCTCTGTGTTGCAATATAATAATGGAGGAGTTGTACAAAGAAAATAACTATCAGCATGAGATATTTTCCTGGCTTCTCAAGGAAAGATTTATACATTTCCAATAAGATACAATTTCGTGTGAAAGGGAAAACATGGAAGTGATAAAGAAGAATAACCTGTAATGAATCATAGAATGCAATACCAGCTGAACAGACAGCCATCAGTATATTTTCTATGTGTGTGCACACGATGTGTGCTATTCATCTTCATGTAGCACAATCCTGTGCACAAAGTATTCCAAGTAGCCATAGGTACATTAGCTCACTTCTGTTTATGGATGCCTGTTGCTGTAAACAGAACTTTGCATATCATCACTACTACATCAGCCTAATTGTGTAATGGAGAAACAGCATGTGGTACTCTGATATTTATTTAAGGTTGCTATAGATTGATATTACAAGATTTGTTCACTAATCTTAAAAATTTGATGTTTGGCTTTATTCACAAAAACAAGAGCTATTTAGAGAAAAGATGTGAGAAGAGTTACCAGCTCATAAAAGTTCAGTCAAGAAATATGCTCAGTATTCTGTAAGAGATCATCAGCATCACCAAATTGGCAGTTGTCTATACAGGCCTAATAAATTTCCTTCCAGTAGTGGTTGCCTTAATAATAAAAAAATGTGCCGGTGAGTGGCATATATATTAGGAGAAATATATCTGTAACATACAAAAGTAGATCTTTAATGGAATAAACACTACACTTTGCATAATAAAATTGCCAAGAGTATGTATCCTGACTAGTGAGATAGAAATGCAATAAATAAACAGACTTACATAATAATAAAATCCATGAATTACGAAACTGTCTTCTTGTCATTAGGAAGGTAGTAGTGCTATTTTGAGGTGCGTTGCTTGGAGAATATAGTGGATTATTGTGGATGGGGCATTCCAGGATGAGGAAAAAGATCTATGAATAGTATTTCATTGCAGATTGAATATGAATCAGTAATACGATGGGGTTGCCAATGCAGGTTTGGAATTCATAAACTTAGATATAGCTTCCATATGACAGGAATATTGATTAACAAGTGATAACCCATGACCAGTTTCATCCTTAATGGAACTTTTAAGACATGAATAGCTAGATGTTATTTTATATAGTTCAGATCCTCTACCAGTACTGAACTAACAGACCTTCACATTTTAGATGACTATATACAGCACAGTGGGTTTATATCATTCTACACAACCCATCAGAGTGGGGAGGCAGGGAATTCTATGGGTTCCCTTCTAAGGAGGTCCATCTAATGGGACCAGGAAGAAGGGCCTTCTCCCTATTGGCTCCTTCCCTGTAGAGCATCATACTTGAGATAAGATTGGCCCTCACCTTGACAATCTTTTGCAAGATCCTGAAAACTTGGTTTTGCCAACACACCTGGGGACCCCACAGTGAAATGGAGCTCATCAAATGACTTATTTGATAGTTGTTGCCAGGGGGTGTGGGGAGGGTTATTGCTTTTTATTGTTTTCATATTGGGTTTTTTATCTTTGTAAACTGAGAGTGAGTTGGGCAGCCATATAAATTTTCCTAAATAAATAAAATAAATAAAATTCACATTTAAGTCATGAAAAAAACCTGTACCCAGTGGTATGTCATGACATAATACCTGTGTATCCCTTCTCTGAGAAGTTAAGGTGGATTGTATACATCATTTTGATAGGAAATCACAGGAAGTAATAGGTTTACTATCACTGTGCATTGCAGACTTCATCTCCAGTATTGTGTCCAGCACTATTATCTCATATGAAGAGGATTCAAATAACCTGGAATATTCAGAGAAGAGGAGTTAGAATAATCAAAGGACTAAAAAGAAGAGAGTTTAAAGGAATGGGGAATGCTTGATCATGAGAAGAAAAGACTGGGGATACAATAGAATTCTTTAAATATAGTATCTGAAATATGTCAAACTGAAGAGCAAGACATGTTCTCCATTGCTCCCTAGTGCAGGACATGAAATAATAGATTGAAATTACAGGAAAGTAAATTCTCATTAATTATTAGAAAAGGCTTCCTGGTACTCAGAACAATTTGGCAATGGAACTAGCGGGTTCTTTGTTCACTAAATACGGTATGATCAAGCAGAAGCTGGATAGCCATCTGTCATGGATGCTTTAATTTGAATTCTTGCCCCAAGATGGGAAGTGAGCTCACTAGCTTAAATGCCCAGTTACAACTTTATGATTATATGATTCTGGATGCTTTGTAAGGAAGGATCTTCAGATTCTAGGATAGCACTCCCCAGACACATCCTCCTGGAACGACATGCAATCATCACCTCTGCAACTATCCATGTTAATATCTTTTTACTGGATTCAGTGGAAAGGATACCAATTGTTTGGATCTTTCTGCTTCTCTTTGGTAGTTACAGAGTTATTGCTTCTGTTTCTATCCACTAAAGAAAGAAGACGGACACCTGTAGCCTGTCTAATTAATGAATCACAATTAATCAACGTTTACAGGAATTTGACATGTATGTGCAGCTTACTTTATCACTGGGAACAAATGATTGTGATTGATATTTTATTCTCTGATAAGTGCAATTTATCAAATATCAAAATGATTGATATTTTACTGTGTGATAGGTGCAACTTACTTTGCAAAATGTGATCAAATGAATAGGGGCTTTCAGCAAGGAAATTAGAAGTACCTTTGAAGGAAATAATGGAATTAAGTGATCTTTAAAAAAAAAAAAGGATTTAAACAGCTTAACTAAAGTAAACTAACTTTTTAAAAAAGAAGCCATGATTGATTTTGAGAGCAAACCATTTCATTTTGGTATGTGAATTTGGATTTCTCCATAACAGAAACTTGAGAACATTTAACAAGTTAAATTTAACACTCTAAAAGATGCTAGTATTATTTCTAGACCAGCACTGTTGTCATATTATTTCAGTTGTCAAAAGCTGAGTAGATTTCTGGGATCATAGTGCGAAGTGCATGCTACATTTTTTTTTTCTTTTAGTAAAGCCTTATCAACATGGAGTTACATAGTGGATTACTAGTAACAGCTGTTGAGGTACCAAAGGATTATAGCCATCATATAACATTATCAACAATGAAATGCACAAGTCATGAGACTTTTATTGTCAGACAACTCCAGAGACTTAGAGTATTATGTACAGAATTGAAGATATTCCTGTAGAGTTTGTTTTGATACACTTTTTGAATAGCCATCATCTTTTACATTCTCTTTTTAAGGTTCAAGTCAGGAAAATTAAAGTTGTCCTAGCTAATTGCTTAAAACTAAAGAAAATATTAACATTGTTCTATGTTTTTTTTAAAATTACTTGAGTATAACAAGTCATCCCTAGTAAGACATTCAGCTGCTTTTGCCCACAGCCAGCAGGAAATTGTGCCACCCTAAATCTTGCTGCCACCACAATGTTTTGTAACTTGGATTAGGTCTGTGCTGGTCTGCTGTCCAAAGAGCTTGAATGCACAACATTCTAAGGTGGTCATTGTGTTGCTTTCTTTGCTAAAATTCCAGCTCCAGGAATACTGGGCATACTGGTTGGAGGAGACTTTTTAGTATAAGTAAAGCTTCCTCCAGTTGTTATGCAGAACAATTTGGCTACTCCATGCAATATCTTTTTTTTCCTTTCACATTGTATCAACAACTGATTGAAGATAAAGAAAAAAAAATAAAAATCAATAAGTCTAATGATCACTTGGTGGCAATAAAAAGTTAGGTTTGTTTTTTTTAAAATCTTGCCTGTCGTCCAGTAACTGTCTGAATATCTGTAGTTAAGATGCATTTAGTCGATGTATGCTGCCAAAAAGAAACAGTTTGAGAAAGATAGTTAGCTTGAGGTGGGAGACATAAATTATGTAATATGAAGAAAGGAAAATAAGAAGCCAAGATTTTCCTGGGGGAAGCAGCAACTGGGAACGGAATTCCCAACCATACAAGCCATAGAGGTACAAGAACTGAGTTCTTTCAATTGCACTTTCAAGGGTACACATTAAGTCAGGTGAATTACAAACTACAGTATGTAATAATCAAAAGGTTGTTATCTTGGTATGAAAATCCATGGAAATTAGAATGTACTCATGAATCCAAATATGTAAGTGTAATGAAAATATGTTGTTATAGCACAAGTAAAATATATAGAAGTTAAATTTTACATACCACTTGCAGATTTCTGGAGATGGAAAATGCATATTCATTATTCATTGATGTATGTTGGAGAGACATTTTCTGTTCTGAGATAACGTACATTCTGCATTTCCCATTAAGAACGCCATTTACATAAGGGACCTTTCCCCCATTCAGATCAACAAAAGAAGAAGAATTCTTTTTTATTTTTTAAGTGCAGAAAGAACTGTGAATCCACTGAAATGAATCAGAAGGTTTTCCTAGGCATCAGAGTTTTATATGCTCAACGAAAATCACAGGGACAGGAATAAAATGTTGATCACCTCATTAATATTAATATAGACAGTCAGTACAAATTCCAAAATTACGTTTGAGATAATAAAATGCTAATTCCATCTCAAATGTAGGAGAGGATGAAAATTGAAGTTGAAAATAAGACTCAAGTGGCTTGACTTTTTCCTTTCTTATAATTTCCAGGCAAAACCAGCAAATTAACCTTCTGTATCAGAAAATAAGAGAGAATGAACTACGAGCTCAACAAGCAAGATTAGGGCACATTGTACATTGTGAAGAATCATACATGAATAATTTCCAGGTAAGATGAGGTTCTTGAACTGTATTTGTTACTATTAGTCTAATGAAAATCCTAAATAATTCAACATCCTTAAGGCCAAGTTTATATTAACATTATAATGAAACATCCCACTTTCCACATTTTGAAGTATGAAAGAAATTTAATGCATAGTGTAAGGGAGCACTTTTGCATTTGAATATTGTTTGAAATCAGTTCATTATATGTGTTATTATTTCCTTACACTGGTTTCAAATTGGCACATATTACATTTAAATGCTTTGACATTTAAACATCACACACACACACACACACACACACACACACACACACATATATATATATATATATGATGTGGGGGTGTGAACTGATTGGGTGGGAGCTTGGCTGTGTTCTGATTGGGTGGAGGTGTGTTCTGATTGGATGGGGGGTTGGCTGTGCTCTGATTGGATGGGGGTGTGTTCTGTTTAGGTGGGGGCTTGGTTGTGCTCAGGTTAGTCTGAGTTGCAGGGGGATTTGAGCTGGTGAGCTGCGTTGCTGTTGTTTGGCTTCGCATTCGTGGTCATGCCACATCTTCAGTTCACACCCCCACTGGCAGTTAAAAGGAAGAAACAGCTGCGATCACACATTGCTCCTAGAAGCACGAAGCTGAAAACACCAGCCTGAAGATGAGTTCGCCGAAACGTCACCAAGACACTTCCTATATATATATATATATATATATATATATATATATATATATATATATATATATATATATATATATATATATATATATATATATATATATATATATATATATATATATAATATATATATATATATATATATATATATATATATATATATATATATAAATATTATTTATTATTGTATTGTTAGAGGTTTGAGTAGTAGTATGACTTTAAAATACAGACTTTGGATCATAAAGGTGATTTTTCCCACATGCTTTTGTACACTAGAAAGCCTATGACTCATTCGGTCATCCTTTCATAGATATTTCCTTACCTAAACAAAGAAACGGACCATAGACTGGCAAAGGAACAGGAATAATTTCCAAATTCCTGCTGGCTTTCTCATTGATTTTGCTCATGAAAAACAGGCAGGGAGGGTTAGAAATCACTCCTTCCCTCCTCCTTGGCTGACCTGCAGAACTGTCTGCCACTTTGCTGAGTAAAGAGGCACAAAGGAAGCTATGGGCTGCAAGGAAAACAGTATCCCTGCTCCCCACTCCAGAGTACCCCCAAGATCCAATTCAGGAAGAAAGAAGGCTCATCTGTCAACTCCTGGAACCTCGCAACCATCCCTATCTTGCCAGCAGGCATCTGAGTCAAAAATTCCAATAAGAGAACCTTTTCGAAGAGCCTTCCTTCAGCAGTGTGGTAGTTAATAAGAGTTTCTTCAAGGAATCCTTTTTTCTAATCTTTTTCTTGTTCTTTTCTTAAACCAGCCTCAATATGAGAAACCATCAATGGCAGCTCAATTTGCAGACAGATCTTTAACCCAATGTGAAAGGGAGCAAGTTAAACTTGCATCAGTACAAAATAAGGAGGTGCAACTCAGTGAGTTTTTGAAAGAAATAGTAAACAAATCCAATGAAGATAAAAAGAAAATGGAAGAGAAGGTGAGCCTCATATTGATTTTATTGAATCATTTGATCACTACAATACAAACATACATTGCTTAGTGGTATATGCTGCATTACAGGCTGCAAATTTATTTGCTGAATCTTTAGATCATTCACTAGGATAATTTTCCAGTTTCATATAATTGAGAGAAACATTTCTTTTAGATTGCTTTATAGTGCCCCTATATTTTCAGATAAAGATAATTGAATATTAGTTTCATTGAAATCATCTGGACTAATTGCTTGTGACAAGGTTTCATTGATGTAAGTGCCAGTTAAGTTGAAATGACTATATCCAATTCATTCTCTTGTAGGATAAAATTTTACTTCATGTTATACCCTAGTGCAGCGCCCCCTTTTGGCCACCAGGGACCATGGAGAGAGGCTTTTCTGTGGACCAGAGGGGTGTGTGGTTTTGCATGCCGGCTGCATCCCATGCTTGTGCTGATGGGGCTTTGCTCATATGTGTAGCCCTATTTCTGGCATGCCGCAGACTGGTGCCAGTCCACAGCCTGGGAGGTTAGGGACTCCTGTCCTAGTGTGCATAGTTAGTTCAGTTTCACCGTTGTTTTTTATGTTTTTTATTAAAGTTGCACTCAGATTTTGTTTTGTTTCAGATTATAGCCACAAGGGAAAGAAATATTTAAAGAGAAGTTATATTAGTCCCAATAAAATCATATATTTAGGCAAAATTCTGTACAGCTTTGCACAGTGTGAAAATGAAGACGATATTTGCTAAGCTTCAGCTAATTATGAAAATTGATAAAAATATGAAAAATAGTATTGTCTAACCTTATGAATCAAATTGTGCAGCCTATGGCCTTTAGCATTAAACAGTTTTGTATTTTAATGTTTTATTGATAGCTTTATATGAATATATATATCCTAAAAGAAATCAGTACAAACATAGAAACATATAAAGCTATCAATAAAAACATTAAAACACAAAACTGTTTAATATATATGATTTTTTTTCAATATACAGTAGATAAAAATAATCCAAGGTTATAAAGTATAAAAGGATATAAAGTAAAAAAAAAAAAGTTTTGTTTCACTTTTGATACTGTTGTGAGCCACACAGTCACATTGGTGATGTGAGCAGTTCCACAAATTGAATACATAAATAAAATTCTAAAATGGCCTTTGATAAAACCCATCGTATTTTCCCACTGGCTTGCCGATCACTCCTGTTAGCATGACATTTGGGTATTCTTTTTCTAGTTTATCTTTGCTCTTTTAATGCTTTTTTTAACTAGTAATCTCTACTAGTTTTTATGATCATCAAAACTAATACAAGTGGTATGTAATTGTTCATTTTTAATGTGATTAGTGAATTTAACAAATAATAAAACAAGGTATATAATGGGTGGCAGTAGATATTAAATATAAGTATATTTTATGTTTGTAAAACATTTTTGTACTTGAAATGAATACATCATTCAGAAAAAAATTAAGCATTAAAGCTATTTTATGTAGATTTTTTACATTTTAGACATAGTGTACCAGCAGGAATAAAAATTATGCTACGTTGAAGGGGCTTTTTTTTCCTGTTAAGGCAGGTAATTTCAGGAAGCAGAATTTAATTGGTCTCTAGAGTGCTGGTATTAATAATACAAGACATAGTTCGAATAGACATGCAGGTAAATCTTGTAGACATGTTTAATTATGAAAATATTACACTAAGCAAAAGTATGCAGTCTTTGAAAAAAATATCAACATTATATTATGTCCTGTTTATATTTTCACTGATATTTTTATTAAAATACTAAAGAATCCAAGACCCATTGGATTTACCGTTTCAGAAATATTTCCTTGCCAGATTCTTTAATGCCTTCAACAATGTCAGAACTTATAGTACACTGCCTTTACGGGAAAATGTTGAGGTAGATTCAGAAATGTATCTGCCTTGAAAATAGCCCACATTGAACAGTACAGCACAGTCAAATATCAGCACATGAAATCTTTTATGACATTAAGTACTATGTCATAAACTGTTTTATGATAATTTTTATGTCATAAAATGTTTTATAGTATATAAATTTGCCAAATTTCAATCCCATGGAAGACCTAGCCTCCAGATTTTGGACATATTCTGTAAAATAGCCCATTTGAAGTACCTTGGTTCAAATATTATTGTCCTATGATGCACTGTTTTGACTAGTTAAAGGTTACATGTATAGTAATATATAAATATAAATAGATAATGCTGAAAAATGGTGATTGAGCTTGAAACCTATTCTTTTTTTATTGGTTTCTTACTTCACATTAGATAACATCTAATCTTACCTTTTTTTCTAGCTCAAAACCCGAGACAGGTACATAAGTAGCCTGAAAAAGAAATGCCAGAAAGAATTGGAACAAAATAAAGAGAAACAGAGGCGAATCGAAACACTTGAAAAATACCTAGCTGATTTGCCAACACTGGATGATATTGAGAAGCAAAGTAAAGAGGTAATCGATGCATTGTTTTGCTTTAAAAGCAGCCCTTTCAGAGGTTTTGCCAAATGATACATTTTAGTGGTTCCTACCTACCCACAGTGTACTCTATACGGTTTTCACACTTCTAACAGAAATCCCTTTAACTATCGACTGTGTTCAGAATTATTGAATACACAGACAATAAATCCAACAGTGCTCCTGTACCAGTGCAACAGCCCAACTGATGTTGCAGCATCAGTTCCTAGTCTCCCCTGCAGCCTCCCGGTTCTGCTTTCCAGAAGTTATGTGAGAGTTTCTGCAGAAGGAAGAAAGAGAAGAGAAAATCTTAATGCACAAATAAAAATAGCTTGTCTTAAATTTTTGTTTAGCCCTTAAGATTTTAAATTGAGAGGTACATCAGTTTGTATGTGTGAGTGTGTGTGTGGGGGGGGGGGGAGAATGGGTATGTGTGCACACATGCACATGCATCTGTGTTTAAGGAAAAATTAATTATGAAAACCGATGATAATCCTCAGTTTGGTATGAGGTTATCATAATTACAGAATTAATTTTCCAGAAAAGCACAACATAATCTATCAATGTAATACAAAATAAGGATTATTTTTGTACATTATAAATTTACATTATAAAAATTGTTAAAAATTAGGCTTGCCCCTATCCTTATAATGGAAAAAACTTTTAAATTGGAATACAGTGCCTTAAGGATTATATTAGAAAAAACAGCAAACCTGAAACATTTTATTTTTGTTATTTAATAATAGTATAGAGCCCAGACAAACTTTTGGTTGGATCTATAAATGCCTCATAAAAGAAGAAATGAAAAAGAATTATGTTGAATTTTGGAAACTTCAAAAAGATTCTGAAATATTGGTAGTTGTGTATATTATTCCTTGTCCCAAAGATGCAACTGGACTTTCTGATTTTTAATAATAATAATAATAATAATAATAATAATAATAATAATAATAATAATAATAATAATAATAATAATAATAATTTTATTTCTATATATTTCTTTAACACATTTTGCTTCTCATTCATGAAGCTTCAGCAATTCTGCATTATCCCTTGAGATCTTTGTTATTTGTAAAAATGACAATTTCTGGACAATATTAAAAGTCAGTGTATGGCTGTGTTCCTTTACTTTGATAGCCTCTGCAAACTATTTTCTTTTGCTTTGCATTTCTCTTTTGAATGGTCCCAAGAGAACAGATTCTATTCTTGCAAGTCTATGGGAAAATCTTCCTTCCCTCCCTCCCTCCTTCCCCACCTTCCCTCCTCCAAGTCCTCCAGATTTTTTTGGCAACCTTTTTGGGGAAGTGATTGGCTCTTGGCTTCTTCCTAGGGCTGAGAGAGAGCTACAGTCCACAAATGACCAAGACATGTCTAAGGAAGGATTAGAACTCACAGTCTCTTTGATTTTTGTCTGGTGCCCTTAAGCACTATGCCAAATTGACTCTTGTGGCAAGCATAGCTCTGCATAGTTTAAAAAAAAAAAAAAACCTTCCTGTTTTACAGCTACTGGGTCTTGAAGAAAAATATAAACAACTGAAAGCTGGTATGGTTGAGCTTGAAAAGGAATTGGAAGCATCTGAGACACAATGTAAAGAAAAAGAATTGCAGCTTGTGTGCCAGAAGAAGAAAGAAAAAGAATTGATAGTTGCAGTGCAAAGGTATGGGCAACATAGTTGATTATCTTCTGAGTGTGTTGCTGCATATAAGGTATTTCCGTCTAGTGTCATGCTGACTCAATTGTAGTGCAGTTGGTAGAAATAAACTTTGCTTTAGTATGAATTGCTTTGCTATGTCACACAGAAGGTAGGGAAGCCACATTTGCAAAAGATACTCAGTGCATATGAATCTTTGTGATTTTAGGGAGGAAGGGGTGGAAAAGCTCCGTCAAATGAATTATTTAATTCATTAGTTAAATGATTGTTCATGACTGGCTTATGGTTTAAAGTTGATTTTCCAACTTTTTAATGTTTTATAATACATCCTCCATCAATGACAGGAGGTGTGGCTATCTGATGCTAATTTTCCAGCTTAGTATAGCTGGCAAAACTTCAGTGTTCACACATAGTGGTGTAGCAATCATAAAAAGATCTATCCTACAGAAAATGGAAACTTTCACCCAATAGATGAAAGGATCAACCCAGGAAGAGAACTGTTCCCAGATTTCTTCTCTAGGAAATAAGGGCTGCTTTTCTCTATAGAGATGACTGAAAGTTTGTTCCCTATTTTCAATGAAGCAAAGCAGTTCTTTATTTCAGCATAAAGACTCAACTTCTCTTTGTGCAAAAAAAAAAAAAAAAGGGAACATACTTCTCTCTGGACAAGAAAAAAATTGTGCAGTGAAGTGGGGCCATTTTCTCTATAGAGAAAAAAACTAAAAGTGATAAGCCTCCTAGAAAAAAATTGTAAAAAAATGAAGATTTTTTTCCCTATTGAGCAAGGGCTTCATGGGATTTGTTTCTCCTTTGTGAAGTCTCCCCCCCCCCCCACCTTGTTTTACCTAGTATGCTGATGATGTTGGAGGGACAGTTTGGCTCTTGGCAGCATGAAAATATTTATCTCTGTCTAACATTTTAAAAATTAGCAGAAAATATTAGGAGGAGTCTGAAAAATGCCACTGAACCGATCAAGAATTTCTTCTAATTTCACTTCTGTACATAATCTGTATAGAAGATAAAGTCAGCCTGGAAAGTTATATGTTTGTGTTGCTGTTTCCTGAAAGAAACTCACAGGATCCAAAAGATTAGCAATTTTAACTTCTGGCAACAAAACTAACAATATGTGACATCTTTAAAGGCTGGAAGAACTTTTGTGAACTGCCAGATTTGGTGGTATCATTTCAATGTCATTTGGAAACAATTGCAAGTGGATTTTAAAATTAGGCAATTGGAATCCCTTGTTTTATAAGATTTTTTGAAAAACTGTTACAGAAATTAAAAGAAAAAATTCTCCAATACAGATAGTAACAAAAAGTTATCTTAGTATTTCAATTTGAATATCCTAAAGTATGGGCCACTTGAGTTCATGACCCTGTGTTCCTAAAATATAGGAACAACAAACAAACATCTTGTTCAGATGATGAAAGGTTAGATATTTAAGGATAGTTAGCCAAATCTCTGAGTGCATTGTTTCCATCTTACATTTGTTACCTCTTGTGTTTATGAGAGTATAATCCACCGTGATGGCTTTGTGTTCTCCTGAAAGTCTATACATATTTGAAGCAGAGTCTTGTTTCTATTTTAAACCACAATTTTCATTGTGATAATATTTTTATCTTTGAAACAGGATAATAGGTAAAAGTTAGATGCTTACCTGCTCTGGAACATTTGCATGCCATAGGGGTATTACATGGACAAGGCTTTTGCGGGGTTATAATATTTAACCGATATGGGAAACTGTGAGTTATCCATGTAATTTTTCTTGTCTTTGAAATTTTTGCCCTGACTTGTCTCCCTGTTTGTTTTGCTTACTAAAATGTAAACCACAGCTTGCAACAGAAAGTAGAAAAATGCCTGGAAGATGGTGTCCGTCTTCCTATGTTGGATGCAAAACAGCTTCAGAGTGAAAATGAAAGCCTCACAGAAAAAAATGAGAAGGCTAATAAGGTCAGTACATTAAATGGTTGTCTAAATATCAAGAGGATTCAGTTTTGAACCCATATTGCTCTCATATTAGCTTTTCCTCTCTGTTACCATTAACAAGAAAAGAAGTACCAGCAAGTGCTTTTATTCAGGATTACTGTACGCCCAGATAGAGAGACAGAGATTGAGAGTGGAGGCAAATCAATGCAAGCCTCCAGTTACTGACTTGCTGCTGTTAGCATTTATGTATTTATATAATATTGAATGGAAGATATTTTATTCCAACATTACTATCTAAATATTTATAGATATAGTTTCCTAAGAACTTAAAAATATCTCACTGGGATCAAGCCAGGCCCCATCTTCATCCAGCATTCCGTCCATGAATAAAATTGCCCACGGATTCTTACTCTGCCTTCTGGCTTTAGCAATTCATAGCAATTCATAATGGATAGGTCCTTTTTCTCCCATGACCACCGGGAAAGTTTCCTGAAAAGCTGTTGAATAGGAATTTTGTAGAAGATTTCTTAAAGGTCAGGAATGGCAGCAAAGTAACAACATGACTATTAGTATTCTCAAAAACTCCAGATGGTTGGATACCTCGTGAAATCCATGCTGATTTTATTCAACTACGTTCTTTAGTTGTTCTTTTCTGGTTGTCATTTCTACCAATTTTCCAGTTGCATATATTACTGGAACTCCCCTGGGTCCCTTTTTAAAGGCTAGTATCACTTTCATCCCATCCTCCTGTAAATGCCCTTCAGAATATTAGCACTTCTAAGCTCCCCATCAATCTCTCTCTGTTGTTAATTCCAAAACTGATGTTGCAATATCTTTTAGAAGTGTATGTCCTTCAAAAAAGATAAAGGAAACCAGAAACATAAATAAGAATGTTATTACCTTCTTTTCCTCAACAGGTCATAGACAATCAACAAAATCGGATCACCGAGATATCTTTAGAGATACAGGTAAAGCAATGTGATTTTCACAGTTTCATGTCTACCATCAAAAAAAATCATTATCATCATAAAAGGAAGCTGTGAATGCACTTCATAAACTTGCATTACTTTAGTTACTAATATTTAATCATTTATATTGCTTCAGTCATTTAGCTTTCTATTTATTCATAAGCTGCTTTGAAATATCTATAACCGAAAGTCTAAAAATAAATCATACAAAGGAATAAATGCTATAACCTGGCCAGCTTAAATAGAAAAGGGAAACCTTATCCTTACAGACCAGTTATTTCCCCCATCAGCAGGACTTCTGTTGTGTCAGTGAAGTGAAGCTGGAATTTATCGACTAAGTTGATATGCACCTGGCTGCTGATTTATGACAAGCTGACTTGCCTAGAATGCCTTATGATACTGGGGATAGAGTTTTTGCTGGAAGAGGGCAGGAAGATAGTTGCCAGTTTTACTCTGTTCATTTTCAGTAGTAAAAACCTCCCACATAATGGCAAAAGAAATACAGTTATAACTAATACCTTAACAGTATATCTTTACTGGTATTTCCACATTAGTTTCCCCACAGTTTTCTCTGCATTTTCATGCCTTTAACTTGCCTTGTACAAAAATATATGTTAGTTTGTTCTTTAAAAAGAAACAAGAACATAAAACCAAGTAGTTTGTTTTTTTGAAAAAAAAAATTACTTTAGCAGACATCCTTGGGTATATTTACAAATAAAAGAGAAGAAAAGGAGAAGGAGGGGAAAAAGAAGGAGTAATAGACTAAGAAATAGGGGAAGAAGAATAAAGTAACAGATGGGAGACCACTATGAAACAATGCTTAAAAAGGATAAGCTATTTATATGTCGTATGTTGTGTAAATGTCTAATTTGTATTTTAATAAAATTTATAAATTTTTTAAAAAGAAAAAAAAGAAAAAAAATTACTTTAGCAGACATCCTTGGGTATATTCACAAATAGGAAAAATAACTCTGATCATAAAGAGGTTTTATCTGGCAAAAGGGGTTTATGAGAATTGATCATTTTTGAATATGGGACATTGTTTACTTGCTGTCAAAAATTGGACTACTTAGCTTATTAGCAGTGGTCATACATTCTATAAAATGAAAAATGACCACAACTTATCTAGCACCAGTGAATTTTTTTAACTGATCAACTGTTACATGTATAGAATTGTCATGTAGGAGCGTCATGAATTTATGACGATGGTATTAAAATGGTTGAAACTGATGACTCGAATGCAAATTGAAGACGCAGGTTATTGCTCCTCTGCCACCAAAACCTGAGTATTGATTGACATGTTGATAATAGTAATATTAGAGACTTTGAGATTTTTTTTTTATTTTACTAAGATTTTATACGGTTTGACTATGATTTCTAGCTATATGTCATAATATTAAGCAGAGAATTAGCCTTACCTGAGCTAATAGGTCTTACTTCATCTAACTTCTTGTATACTTCCATTGTCATTTCTTTCAATTTTAGTTCCATATTATGTTTTAACAGAATTGTGAATGGATTTCAGTTTGATAACAAGGATATAAGTTTAACTGAAGTTAATTTTAAACTCCAGTTAGCTTTATTTAACTGGAAACTGTAGTTAAAAAATCTACAACATAGTGTTGAAATTCTCTCACAGCAGAAATTTATGAATCCAGTGCCTATTCTTCACTGGAGGATAAGTATTTATGAAGAATAGGGTCAGCCGAATATAAATAAGTTTAGAGATTTTTCAGATTTGTTATTATTGAGATGTGTGTACTCAACAGAATTCCCAGCCAGCATGATATTTTTTTTATCATTCTGGAGTTAGATTTAGATTTATTAGATTTCTATACCGCCCTTCTCCCAAAGGACTCAGGGCTGTTTACAGTCATATTAAAACACATATAAATTTACAAAATTTAAAAACTATTTAAAACTGAATATATAAAAATTTGGCCCACAAAATTAAAAAAAATGGGGTTGATGTTCGCAGGAACTTGGCATCTAGAGACTGCCAAGTTGGGAAAGGGTGACTTAGAGCAAATAAAGTAAGCAGAGGTTTCAAACAAATGTAAAGTGTGGTCCTGGAATACCAGCAAAAGTACTAGTAACATTGAGATCTTGATGTAGCTGTCTTGCTGATCAACTCATAGATGTTTGTTTCTGTTTTGAATATAACTGTGTTTGATATACTGTTTATTTTTATAACTTTCCTTTTTTTCTGTAGTCCTCCCAGAATCACTTCTTGTGAGATGGGTAGCCATATAACTTTGATAAATAAATAAATTAGGAACGATTTTATATCTAACTCCTTTTAGGAGGTAGATATATTTCATTTTTCTTTCTCTTTTTGAAGAGTATTGAAAGCTGGGCTGTTGAGATTCCCACCAGTTCAAACTCTGCCTTGTTGCAGGGGACTATGCAGGGATGAGAAAAAAATGTTGGCTGTACTTGACAATCCTTGTGCAATCCAGGCTATTTGTTGTTCAGCTATGAGGGAATGATAAGCAATTCATACATAGTAAAGGGGAGAGGAACAAGGATGGATGCCAATAATTTGATGCTTTCAAAGCCAGAAAAGATCTATGATATGAAATAGCTATGGACCTGGCAGTTGGGCTTCTGTTCCGAAGTATTCAGTAGCGTGAAGCTTTATCAAATCTTTACTAAAGGAAGACAAAACATTAAAAAATTCTACTTAATGGTTATATTTATATGAAATTCATACTGGTTATTGTTAAAAAATAGAATGTTTGGAACAGAGTTTGTTGATCAGCAATTTTAGTTGCAGTGCAGTAGAATTCTGTTTTAAATTCCTAGTCATTATATTTTGCAACTAATTTTATCTTTTGTCAGATGTACAGTCTGGACAGATGAGGATCTTTCCCCCAAATCCAGTAATCATATTTTTCAGAGATGATAATAATGCACTAAACATACAGGGAAAAGGGTTAGCTCTGTTCGACAAGGCTGTTGCAAATTTGTATTAAGACAATATGCCAGGTGGAAAGGAGTTTAGCCTTCTTTCATTCACAGTACAGCTGAACTTTCTTATCTACAATTCTATGTATCTACAGTTGATAAATAAAACGGATAAATCTTGTTTCTCCATGGCCAGTTTCAACTGCTGACAGGTGGGTAGAGGTCCAGTCCAAAGCTCCTCTATGTTCTCGCCTCTGCAGTTTTAACATCTACATGGAATTGCTAGCTGAGGTCATCCGTCAACATGGCATCAGGTATCATCAGTATGTTGATGACATGCAGTGTATATTTTGACCCCTAGTCAACCAAGTGATGCCGTTAAAGTCTTGTCCCAATGATTGGAAGGGTTTCAGGTCCGGATGCATAGGATCAGGCTTAAAGTGACAAGACTGACTAGATATGGGTACTGATTTTTCCACTGCTGGTGATTCTCCATATTTGCCTCTGAATGGACTTGTTCCCTTAACAAAACTGGTGCACAATTTGGGAATCCTCCTTTATCCAGTACTCCTGCTGAAAAAGCAGGTGGCAACTATGATCAGAACATTATACAGATCCATTTTTTGTACCAATTCCACTCTTTCCAGGACTGGGAGTCCCTTCTCAAGGTCGCTTATGTGTTGATTATTCAAAGCACTTCATATGGGACTGCCTTTGAAACTCGCTTAGAAGCTAAAGCTAGGTTTGCATCAATGGTGAGTTGCTCCCTGTTTGGCCCGGTTCGGCCGAGCCGGTAGCGGTGATGATGTGACGTCACCGAACCGGTTCTCTGTGACTGGGAGCTGGGCCCTCCCGCCCACCCCCGCTTTATTCCTACCTTTATTTCTTGGTTTTTAGCCCAGCTGATAGGTGCAGCAGAGTAGATTGCCGCACCTCAGCTGGCCAGAAACCCAACGTGCTTGCGGCAATCGCGCACAAAGTGCGTGCGTGAAGAGAACCCGTAGTAACATTGGTTGGGATCCACCACTGCATATAACAACAGGAGCAGTTATGAGTATGCCTATGTAACAACTCTGTTATATGAGCCTAAATGACTTCTAGTGAGTTTTCACATGCAACTTGAGGGTGCTGCTTATCACTTACAAAGCCCTTCATGATATAGGGGATGTCTTATCTGAGAGACATTCTGGCTCTTGTAATGACTGTCCGATCTATTCTATCGAGTTGGCACACTTTGAGTCTCATATATTAAACAATGTCATTTGATAGGACATAGGAAGTATACTTTCTCTGTTATGGTGCCTGGAATAGCATCCTACCAGAGGATTGGACTGTCCTTAACCTGCAAGTCTTTAAACAATGTCTGAAAACCTGATTTTTGTCCTGAAGCTCTGGGATAGATCTAGCCATCTGAGATGCAATGTCTGTTTCAGTTTTAACTATGTCAATTTCTATAAAAGAATTTAGAGATGAAACTATTCAAGACCTCTCAAAGATGGACATGAACAGGCAGTTATAACATCTAGAGATTGAAATAAGGGTGAGGAAGAAACGTAACCTTTTCTTGAGCTTCTTTAGGATAAGGTGTGACTTAAAAAAAGGCTGGAAAAGCTTATAAGATTCAGGTAGGCCAGATTAGAAAAAGGTACCAGTTTCCAAAAGATTCCAGCTATGCTACTTTATTGTTGTAAGGGGTAACAGAATCTTAAATGTTAGCACGTGTTTTGAAACATTATCTCTATTTTTAATCTGTACAGTTCCCAGTATTGAGTTGGGCAAACTTATATATACAAATAAATAAAATCAGTTACTCATCCAGAATTTATTATTTGTGGTGAACAACTTTGTATATCTACAGTTGTTTTGTGCATGGCTCTGATCCGTTTGCTGTTTTGTACAACGCAGAAGTAAGCATTGAGCTCTCTCTCCTGCCCCCAAATTAATTTGCCAGTGACCTGCAGGGTTCTGACCTTATATGGTCATCTTCTTCCTGCATGTTGCCTTTTCCACATTGAAAATGACGGTTCTGCTGAGACGTAGTAATTGTTGATACAAAATATTGCTGTTGAGCATGAAGGTAAAGTTAGCATGTTGAACCATCAAGCTGTTAACCAAAGAAAGCACCAGCATTGCAAACATAATTATTCCCATTGCAACAAAGAGTTAGGAGACAGCAACACCAAAATGTTCACATAGCTTTTAAGAGGAGGTAACTGATGAATGATTTTTTATTTTGATTTTTTGCCAGAGACCAAAGGAGGTTATAGTTCTGCTAACTCCAACATTAGAGTGAAGGAATTCCACTGCTGCTTTATATTTATTTTGAATAAAATACAGTTCATTTTTCAATGTTATCTTTATTTATTGTTCTTTATTTAAAATAAAGACTGGGGGGGTAGAAGCTTGAAGATGGTCAAGATATGGTATCTTTATTTCTTTAATTTCTTTAATTTCTGATGATTTGGCATCATATTCCGGGGGCTATAGAAGCTATATGCTTATTCTCATAGGCTCCATGTCTTGTTGCCTGATGGTTATATGTTGGAATAGTGAAGTGTAAGCTAAATATAGTTGAAGTACAGATGGGGATTATAAAGCTGCACTTTGAGCAAGGTCCACCTCCACTTCAAAATAAGGATGTGATCTAAAGAAAATCAACTGTTGTATCATTGCATTCCTTAGGATTCAGCACTTTTTTGATATGTGAAACAGTTCAGCACAGTAAAGTGCTCCTTTTGGTCTATCAGCAAATATATTTTCCTATCCTAAGCAATGAGTGGTCTCAGAAACTAGAGAGCAGACAAATGATGAGTAAACATGAAATCAGTGGAATTGGCAGTTTTGTTACCAACAGCCTCTGAAGCACCAGGGGATAAATATCTTCTCTAAACACTTTTGTCTTTCCCTATAAGGGGAGATGGATTTTTGGCAAGCTTAATGCTGAATTCCTCTAAATCTCTTCCTGTCAAGATCAGACTAAGAAGGGCCTTTTAATTCACCAGAATCGGCAAGTAGATAACATACACTGATCCAGTGGAGAAATACTTTCTTAATCTATTCTTATAGTATAATCATCAAACTGCTGTCCAAGGAATGTCTCTCTTCTCCCTCCAGTCCTTTATAACCTAGCTCAGTCCATCATTTAGTAACACCTGCCCAGAGATTAAGATAAGTTTTATAAGAGTCCTAAATTTGCTTTTAAAAGATTCTGAAAATTTTGCTCTTCAGAAGGACTTCAGAAAAACATACAGCCTGCAGCTCAGTCAGGCATTGAAATACTGGATTATTGGATACTTTTATTTTTACCTTTTGCATTGAAGGTTACATCAAAGGATTATATCAAAATCACCAAGGTGTCAATTTTCTGATTTGCCCAGTACCTTAAGGCTTCCCCATCAGGTCAACCATTTCATTAGACTGACTCATAATTACTTAGCAATAGCAAATTCAAAGAGTGATCCTCTTTGAGGATCTTAGATTACTTTCTGTGGTTTTTTTTTTCTCAGAATGTTTTTATAGCTATAATGTAATCAAATGTTAGATTTTGGTGGGCAAAAGAAAACATCGGTAGACACAAAAGAAGTGCCATGTTAGTTAGCAGAGAAACTCTGAAATGCATCATGGCGCAGTTGCTGAGTTCTGTTTGTTTTTCCTTTAAGAAGGAGAACCTAAGAAGGGATATTGTCCTCCTCCTTGTTGATAGTAAAGTTCATTGTTGAGCAAAGGCTAAATCTGAAAAGTCCCCATTCCTGCAATAGAATTGTTTCATGGAAGAGAGAATCATAAGCGGCTTTTTCATTTATGCCAGTAAACCGGAACTCTGAGTACTTTCACTATCAATTACTAATCAACAAGGAAAACACAGTGCTGAAAAATTTGAATTATTGATTTATTGATTTATTCATACAACATAAGTAAAGATAATTTTTCCATTTACCCCCTAGTCTATGCAAGAAAAGCTTTTGGAAGGAAATCTGACAATTCAGAAACAAAAAAATGAACTTGAAGAAAAGGATAAGAGTGTACAGCAGTTAAAGGAGGTACTTCTTGAAGTAAGTTTCTCAGATTATCCTCTGAATCAAATTTACCTATCTGCCTTCTTTTTCATATATTGTGAGTGAATTGTAAAATAAAATTTCCCAACTTGCAGTTAAGTATGAGAGCTTTTTTGAAAACATAAGTACTAGACAGGAACCAGATACACTGATAAACATCTTACTGTAATTGGGAAGGTCTCTGATGGACCAATAGCTAGTGGTGACAGATTGATTTGCTATTTGAAGCAAACAAAATGTTACGCCTAATATTTAACAATGTGGATATTTGTTCTATCAAAACATGTAAACATTTGATGTCCACCACTCTGGCTTTCCATTTCCCTACAGTTTTCTTATCAGATGCCAAGCATCTGATTCATGCCCCTGAATGCAGATTTTTTTTTTCAAAATAAAATATAAGCAAATTCATTTACTTAATGCCTATATTCAATTAGATTTTTTTCTGAAATAAGCCAAGTGAATGAAATATTTTTTGTATTTTTATTTTCATCTTGTTTTAATGAAGAACCAAAGATTTATGGAAGAAAATGCAAGTTTAAGAGAACAGATTCATCAGATGGAGCAGTCCAGACAACCGGTAGCCGAAAAATTACCTGTGGCAGATCAGTTGTTCATAGAGATGTCTCACTGTCTGTTTGACTTGAAAGCACTTTGCAGTATTCTTACTCACAGAGCTCAGGGCAAAGAACCTAACCTGTCGTTGCTGCTTGGAATCCAATGTAAGTAATGCGGATAGAGATGCCTACTGTTCCTTTTGGCATGAGTAGACCTGGGAAAGGAAAATCTAGGAATGTTAGTAAGAGAGGAGTAGGAGGCTCCAGATTGATGTACATTTCTCACTTAGGTAAAATACTACCCTGTTTCCCCCAAAATAAGACATCCCCTGATAATAAGCCCAATTGGACGTTTGAGCGCATGGCAATAAGGCCAAGCGCTTATTTCAGGGTTCAAAAAAATATAAGACAGGGTCTTATTTTCAGGGAAACACGGTAATAAATACAAGTCACCTAGAATTGGAAAAACAGATATACAGTATATATGACAGGCTTATTTTCCACGATTGTAATTCAAAAATGTTCAGTTAACTTTGAGAATTAAATTTAATCTTCTTATAATATTGGGCTCCCTGCAGCTTTTCCACAGCATAGTTTGTATGATCTTTGTGGTCTCCAAGCAGCCATGCAATAAGTTCCATTTGTATCTGGGGTTTTTTTTTTTAAATAACACATTTCAGCATGAAGTCATGCTGAAAATTGGTTCTTTGAAACAGACAGCCTGTGGTGCCACTGCTAGATTTTTACCTCAGAGTATCATGCTCTCATTTTAATTCCCTTTAAAAAGCCTAAGGAGCAAGAAGTTCTAATAATTTCAGTTGAGTAAGTAGAACACTCCAATTCCCCCCAAAATAAACTTTATTAGGGCCTCATTTCTTTTTACTGGCTTGGATTTCATCTGTTCTGGTGACTGCCTGAATTGGGTATTATTATCAATTTTTCTCAAGTTAACTTCTAATTCTGGCAGAAAATAAAAACAAATAAATCCTCCACCAGAGAATACAGTTTGATCAAAATTGCTTCCCTAAGAACTCATCCTTCTATCCATCTTCAATTTTTAGTAGGCAGAAAATATAAAACCAAGAAGCTGACTTTCTTCTCTATAATATCTCTAATTTTAAAGTGATCATAGCAATACACATTTTATCAAGAAAGCAGAACATTCACATATTCTTTCTGTAGCCCAGCAGAATTAGGTCATTTATAATTGTATGTTTTGAACTGGTGACTTGTTTAACTTCTAGCCCTCGTTCTTCTTTAACAGCTATGAACTCTTCCTCTGAAGATGAGAAGCACCATAGCACAGAAAGTCTCTCAAAGAAGCTCTCAGAGGTTTGTCAGTTACGGAAAGATATTGATGAACTGAGGACTATAATTTCAGACTGCTATGCTCAGGACATGGGAGAAAATTGCATTACACAGTGATGACATCTTGGCCTCACACTAGCAACTAAGTTATTAAATGCTGCTCTGGTTTTAGTTCCTCATGTTTCTGTTACAAACAATACTGGAAAGCAAATGCTGTGCCAGGTGAAAAGGTTTCATGCATAGTTCATGCAGATAACACGCTCTTCTTTCGAAGAGATTTTGTGCTGCAAGAAAAAAATCTAATTTCTTTAAAACTACTGAATGTAGGTCAAAGCTGTGAATAATGTTGTTCTTTTGAAAATGGTTTTTATTTCTTTTGATACGCTGATAAAAGAAAATACAATGTTTTCTGGAGTAAAAATGGAATTGCCAGAAGAGGGCACTATGATAGTGGTTCAGCAGGCTTTAGGGTAGAAGATCAGGCCCGAGAATTTTCATGACAAAAGCAGTTGGACATGCTTGGTTATTTGAATATCAGGTATTAGAACTGTGGACGAAGATACAGAGTCATAACAAAGATTTTTTTGAATGCAGGGAGTACCAATGGTTTGAGCCACACAAAAAATTATAGGTAAAAATTATAAGCTCTTTAAAGGTTGCATTCCCAGTTTGATTATTGTTTTATTCTGCAGTTCTTGTGTAATGCAAAGGGGGAAAAAAGATGAAAAAACATTCACATTTCAGAGAAGGAAGGGATTCAGACTTAGAATTTCGTCACCAACTATTAAGCTCTTTTGCGTTAATCAGGTTGGGCAAAAATGGTTTTTATAAAAGATTTTTTTAAAAAAATCAAAATCATTTAAGTGTAATATCTTCATAACAATATATATTTACTCTTCGTTTGAAATTTGGGCAAAGTAGTGTCCGTTGAATGTGAATGTTTGAATTCCAGCACACAGAAAAATAAAAAGCCTTAAAGAAACCTGATTTCTTCTGGCAATCTAAAACAGCAGATCTTGATGAATAATTAATATAATTGCTCCAAAATTATATCACAACTGGCATAAAAACCTTATGTGAAAACAGAGTTCTTGACTATTCAGGCAAATATGCTTAAGTTGCTCCTATTGCCAGAAGAGGACTTAGATGAAATCAGCAGTGCCAACCTTCATAGATGCAGTGTTAAAATGCCTGAATTAAAGGTATGCCACTTTGTAATCCAGGTTTATATATTTTGCTGTGTTAAAATTTATATGCCGTTTGTCAAGACAAGCCTGATACTACTTTATTCTGACAATCTATTCTACAATCTACAAAAAACATCTTTGAAAAAAGAAGGCGGCTAACTAAATACAGCGCACGATGCTCATAGATGCCATGAGGCTCATAACTTCTGTCTTGCCAAAAGTTGATGCTTAAAGAGCAAGGAATGGATTACTATTCTCAATTTCTTATATTAATATTTTTCCTTAAACAGTTTTTAAACCATGATTTTAGATTGATATTTTCACATTTTGTGTCATTCAAATTTACATTTTATTTGTATATGATGCAGTTTAAAAAATTGGCCTTTTTAAAGTTATATTTATTTTAATAGGAGCTTATTCCTACTCTGATGACTATACTATCTGTGGAAATTTATGTTAATATTGAACTTAACTGATGCTCAGTTGTTTTAATACAAATCTGTAAATATTACATAGAAGCAGCTAGTAAAGGATAAAGATCCTTAATCCTGCTGATTGAGGCCTGAATTTAAAATATTAAGATCACAATTCCAAGAGTATTACTAGAAATAAAATTGAACAGTATTCATAATTGTAACTTTAAATTCATATCTATGCAGATGAAGGGGTGAATGATCAGAACCTGATTCACTTTCTCACCAATGAACAATGAGTGCAAGCCTGACTTTCTTACTACACTGTGCTATTAAGAAGCACAAATGTCATTTTGTGATTCTAAATGTTCTCATTTTATATTCTACTTGACTCTGTATCTTGCAAACAATTTTGAACTGCAGCATTATATTATTATTAAGAAATAATAATATTTCACAAAAAAGATAAGAGCAGTTTGTGGAAGTAGATTTTTGACAAAAATTGTCAAGAAATTTCATATTTGCATGGGCTGCAAATAACAGATTTTAAATAACTAGTTAGCTTGGATTGTTTAACTTCTTTCCTTTAACAACCATCCTATTTGTCTGCTTTATAACATCATGAGGTCATACCACCACTTTTACTTTGAATAGACAATCATATAGCACTCAAGGAAGAACTAATTTTTGAGAGATTATCCCAGATACCTGATACTTTTGATCCTTGCCCAGATATTTGTTTAACTAATGTAGTTTAACATCATACTCTATGCATGTTTATGAACCTATTTTAAAAAAAGGTTTGACAAATTATTTTACAATTTGTATTTTTAAAAAGTTGTTATCTTTGCTCTTGAAATAAGAATTGTGTTGCAAGAAATGCCTCCTATTATGCTGTAGAGCAGTGTTTTTCAATCCTGGCAACTTTAACCTGGACGTAGAATTGTCCAGCCAGCATGCTGTCCACATATCTTAAAGCTGCCAAGTTTAAAAAAAACACTTGTAATTAAGACGTTGGTGAAAATAAATGGATAATTTGTTTTAACAATAATAATATAATTATTTTAGTGTAACGTTCATATATGTATTCTCATAAATACATAGATAAAACTTGATTAGGCAATTTGTTAAAAATAAAGCCACTGCTCTACAGCACTTTGGGGGACTTGCTTTGGTGTTCACACCATCCTTCCACTCATATCCAGTGAAAATACGAAGGTGTAGCATGCATTTCAACTACATTTCTGTTGTCAACAACTCTCAGTGACTGCAATTCATTGGTCAAATAGAGGAGATTCCTAACGGATGTGTGTTGATAAGGATCTCTAGTGTTTTAGAGAAGACCTGAGGCTGTATATCTGTGTGGCCTTCTTTACACTACCAGCAAACACACGAGTGTTGGGAATTAGGGCTATTAGTACGATCCTCTTTTCTTCTTACCCATTCATTGGAACAACTAAAATGAGGTTCTGACATTTGGCCTATCAAACTGGCCAGTAAAAAAAAAGAGTATGCTGTGAATCACAAACCTATTCAAGCATTTGAGATTGCTGAGTGAAAAGCACTCAGATAGGTTCCTGCTTTAAACAGGGAGGGACCTAGATTTATCCTCAGATGCTAAATAACAGGGAGAAGGCATCTGCAACTGCTTGTCTGTAGGTTACGTAGTATATAGAAAGATATTTGTTTTTCCAATAAAGGCTCCATATGTCCTGGTAATTAGTTTAATGTGTCTTAGTGAAATGAAAACAATCAAAGATGGTAACCAAAGACAGAAGGACAAAATCAAATGAGCCATAAATACACTATTATTTTATTAGTAATAATTTAGCAGTTTTGGAATCTGAAGAATTTACCCGTTTACAATGGCTATTTAGTAGCTTGACTTCTGCATGCATGAGTTTTTTCATTGAATATGTGTGTGGCCTCATTCAACACATGTTATTAAAATGGTTAACTAACAATAGCTTTTTAGAAAAAAAAAACAGTTCTCAATGGTATTACTAAGTTGATTTAGTCATGACAACCTTTCCCCCCAGATATAGGAGATCATTCAAAGAGTTGAAAAAGTATTACTAATAAATAAAATGTAGATAGGTTTGTCAGCAAAGATGAAGGCAAAAATTACATATTTCATATGTTAAGGTTGCATTTTTACAGATGTGTAGATGGCATTCTATAGTAATTAGTATAATTTAAGAATGTATCCTAAAAAGGAATTCAGAAAGTTACTTTCATACATGACTAATGCAGTTATTTATATGTCATTTGTATGTACAGTATTCAAATTTAGTACTGTAGTATAAACTTAATTTGATTTGATTTTTTGTAAAGCAGGGTCAGTGATCCTATTTGGAAAATTGACTTAGCTCTGACAGTAATGCCCAGATCAGTAATACTTCATCATTATATAAGGGTAGAGTTAGGTGTTAAATGTTTAAGTTTTTGGAATGTAAGTTATAAGCACAGTAGATGATTTTTAGTAGGTTTGCCATAATCAGTCACCCTGGATATAGATATTTTTTTAAAAAGTAATATAAATGATCCAAAATTATTTTTTAACTTTTTTATTACTCTACAAATTAGTTTTTTAGTTATTTATTCCCATCCCACCCCCTTTTGGAAAAATTGTGAAAAATAATATCTTGTTAGATTCCAGAATTCGAGAATAAAAGGATAAAAGATAAATGCAAGATGAGGTGTGCATCAGTTTTACTCTGCCTAAAACTTAAACTGGGGCTAAATTCACCTAACCCCCAAATTTATTATTCAACAATGCTTCTGTAAATCTGTGTATATTTAAAAATAACTCTAAACATAAAAGAGATTTGACATCATATTCTAGATTTGGATTTCAAACAAAATTGAAGGCAAAGCTACTATTCTGTAAAAAGACAATGGATATTAAAAATTAGGTGAATCAGTCAATAAACCAACAGTCACTGGAGTATTATTTCCATCTCTTCGTAACTCTGTGCCTCTTATTTTTGTTCATGGCTTAAAAGTAACATTTTAATAGCTATGAAAGTATCAAAATTTGCACTTTGTTTCCTCTGATTTTTGAGACTTCTTAGCTTGTAAAAGTGTGAGAAACCTTTCGTAAATAGAAATATTTTTTACCTTTGTAACTTAATCTGGTCTGTTTTTACCAGCTATTCTGTATATGGTGGAGAATATGCAGGCAATTCAGTCAGTGTCCTTTTGTATATATTAGGTATATCGTTGTTAAGGCAGTGGCAAGGCAAGGGAAAAGAGGGCTCTCCTTCAAAGCACAGCAGACTTAAACTGGATCAGTTTTCTAATGCTGATAGTTCTTCAATGTTGGGTTCAGTTTCTGAGCCGCTCAGAATACCTCATGTGTACATAGAGTTGTCATGACTTAAATCGAAATGCATTCAGTGTTGTTGCTGTTTTTATTTTTAAAGAGCCACTGGCTGGCTCATCTCTAGGCCTGTCATTCTTGCCTACCCTCTTTTTGTAACTTTTTTTAAAGTAGCATTTACAGCTAGAATTTTGAATGCCAAAGTTCTATTTATTAAATGATAAAATTTTCATTGTTGATTATACTAGT